CTTAATACATAATCACCACGTGACATCTTATTTGAATGGTGGGACCAGCCCAATTGAATCAGGATGTATTTTCCTAGCCTCTGACGTGTCAACCGAGGTCCATTACCTGAGGCCATCATGGTTAGCCTATTTCCGAGGCCCTTCTCCGAGATTCATAGCACCACCACGGACCTGAGGCTCTAACGACTGTTGACCAAGTGTGAAGATTCATTCATGATGAAAATCTCAATTTGAATGATTGACGTGACTTGTGTAAAAGTTTATTTGTGCATTGTCTTGTCAATGTAAGAGCATTTAATGTCTTGTAAGGCCAGGATAGTCAACTTGATGGCTATGACTTGATGTCTTGGCCGAGGAGATGTTGCCACGTGTAAAATGATCCAAAGGTAATTGTTTCATTGGTAACACTATAAATACTCATACCATGTAATACAAGAAGGTTACTGAAATTCCAGATACTTGAAATAATATAATTTTCTCCTCTCTCTCGTTTAGCAGCATATTTCTACTACAAATCTTGTTCTTTATCGATTAGTTTCTTATACAATCGTGTTACATTTATCTTGCCGGATGCTCGAATGGAGACGTCTTGTGCCATTGAACTATTCTCACGTTCAGTTTCTGGAGTCATCTTGACCATTGATCGGCATTAGCGTGTTGGTCAAGCTTACGTGTGCACGAGTGGGCCCAACATCTGTTGGCAACATTTTTCGGGGTCATCAAATACTATTCCTTGGGAGACGATATTCGTAAATCACTATGTATTACTTATCAACGATTCCATACGTTTATGAGATTTTACCGTGTAAGCGTGCAGCATTCACCATGAGTGTTCATGACTTATAATTTTCTTTCCCATAGACAAAACGGATTCTAATATATTGGTGTATATAATAATTATTATGATTAATTAATAAAAAAATTTGAAGTCTTACTTTTTTGCGAATGTTGGAATGGCTAGTGATACGTGCGAGACACGTCTTAAAGATACTATGGTAGGCATATAGAGCATAATTAATATGAATATATTCATTATTGTATAGTTTAGAATATAAAACAATATTTTCTAATATTCTGGTGAATAAGTATACAACTGTTGAGGATTTAAAGAAAGCTTATGAAGGTGATCATT